CTGAAAAAGGCATTGGACTTTGAGAAAGTTACTTCTTACCGTGTGGAAATGGAGGCCACGGATGGAGGAGGCCTCACTGGGAAGGGCACTGTATTCATAGAGGTGGTGGATGTGAATGACAATGCCCCGGAAATTACCATCTCTTCACTCACCAGCTCCATCCCAGAAAATGCTGCTGAGACCTTAGTCTCTATCTTCAGAGTTGGAGATAGGGATTCTGGAGATAATGGAAAGACAGTATGCTCTATTCCAGATGACCTTCCTTTCATCCTAAAATCTACTTTCAAGAATTTCTACACTTTGGTGACAGAGAGGCCCTTGGATAGAGAAATAAGAGACCAATACAATATCACCATCACTGTCTCCGACTTGGGGACTCCCAGGCTGCAAACTCAGCACACCTTCACCCTGCAGGTGTCCGAGGTGAACGACAACGCCCCCGAATTCACGCAGTCCTCCTACACCCTGTGGGTCCGCGAGAACAACAGCCCCGCCCTGCACATTGGCACCATCAGCGCCACAGACAGAGACTCGGGCAGCAACGCCCAGCTGACCTACTCGCTGCTGCCCGGCCCGCAGCCCGGCCCCGACGCGGCGGCGGCGCTGGTGTCCATCAACGCGGACAGCGGGCAGCTGTTCGCCCTGAGGGCGCTGGACTATGAGGCCCTGCAGGCGTTCGAGGTGCGCGTGCGCGCCGCCGACCGCGGCTCGCCCCCGCTCAGCAGCCAGGCGCTGGTGCGCGTGCAGGTGCTGGACGCCAACGACAACTCGCCCTTCGTGCTGTACCCGCTGCAGAACGCGTCTGCGCCCTGCACCGAGCTGCTGCCCAGGGCGGCCGAGCCGGGCTACCTGGTGAGCAAGGTGGTGGCGGTGGACCGCGACTCGGGCCAGAACGCCTGGCTGTCGTTCCAGCTGCTCAAGGCCACGGAGCCCGGGCTGTTCAGCGTGTGGCCGCACAATGGCGAGGTGCGCACCGCCAGGCTGCTGAGCGAGCGCGACGCGCCCAAGCACAGGCTGCTGCTGCTGGTCAAGGACAATGGCGAGCCGCCGCGCTCGGCCAGCGTCACGCTGCACGTGCTGCTGGTGGATGGCTTCTCGCAGCCCTACCTGCCGCTGCCCGACGCGGCGGCGCCCGAGCGCGCGCAGCCCGACCGCCTCACTGCCTACTTGGTCATCGCGCTGGCGGCCGTGTCTTCTCTCTTCCTCTTGTCTCTGCTGCTCTTCGTGGCCGTCAGGCTGTGCAGGAGGAGCAGGGCGCGCTCGCTGGCCGGCTGCGCGCTGCCCGATGGCCCCTTGCCTGGACACCTGCTGGACGTGAGTGGCACGGGGACCCTGGCCCACAGCTACCAGTATGAGGTGTGTCTGCAGGGAGGTGTTGGCACCAACGAGTTCAATTTCCTGAAACCCGTTATTCCGAATAGTCTTTTTCATGACACTTAAGGCTGAGGCTTTGTAGTAACTGAAATATTAATAACTTTCTGTTCCATTCTCTTGTTTTCATATCGATATATGAGATTATTTGTGGTTTTATGTTTTTCTTATATCAAAGTGGGTCTTCTTATTAATTCAGTTAATGCCTTTATGGTTTTTTTTTTTTTTTTTTGCTAATGGGCAGGAATAATGAATCCATTGTTTTACTGGTGATTTCAAATACATCTATTTAACTCAGTTCAAATTATGTATTTAAAAGCAGTTACAGTCAAAATCTGTGTAGTTAAACAAATGTGTAAATGTTAAATTTTTCAAAGTACAGGCATAGTTTTGTTTTTACCATGTATTTAAGTTAATTGTAAATGGAAAGAATGCATCATAAAATCCAAAACATTTAATTTATAACGAATAGTTCTCATTATGCTATCTTTATTTCAACAGTGAAATTTCAACTTAATTTCCTGTTGTACTTGCATTTATTTACCCTTTTGAATCCCTTTATCTTCCTTATTACTTTTCTGTTTTTCCCCTTTTGAGATTCATGTTCTTTTAAAAATTTTTAATTATTGTCAAGATGATGTACAGAGAGGTTACAGTTGCATAGGAAGGTAATGAGTACATTGCTTGTGGAAGGTTGTTACCACCTCCCTCATTTTTTCCCCTTGCTTTCACTCCCCTCCAACTACTTGCCCTCCCCCCCCAAGTTATAGAGTTTATTTCCTACATAGTGTCTTGTGAATATTACTGTTGCATTGGATTTTCATGTTTTTTCTACTCTAAATTCCATATATGAGAGGAAAATTATGATACTCTTGAGTTTGGCTTATGTAGGTTAACATGGTTTCTCCCATCTCACCTATGTACTGAAAACTGCATAGTTTGATTCTACTCTATGGCTGAACAAATCTCCATTCTGTATTTGCACTGCATTTTCTTTCTGTGCTTGTTATAATATTCCTAGTACATCTTCAAGTAATGGCCTGTAGGGAAAATAAGGAAGTGTTTAAGATCAATTAATTCCCTTTTAGGTTTATAGTACAAAAATAAAAATAAAACATTTGATTCATTCTCTTTATTGACAGTTACAGTTAATATTTTGTTAGTGTATTACATACAATGGACAAAAATATAAATGAGTACAGCAAACTCCTCTTAAATGATTATAGTTGGTCAAATCATATTCACAATGACTGAGGACAAAATTAAACTGAAACCATTTTAAACATCTGATTGTGCTTTCTACTGTGAATGAGACATTATTAAGGCATGAGGGATGACAGTTTGATTTGTAAATTCAGAGTTGCAAATGTAAAGACTCCTGTCACATGTAATCTCTTGAAGAAACATAAATGTATCTTGTCCATGGAGTCCTACTTCATTATTCATGATTCCCTGACATACATAGGGTGTTTTAGAAGGGAACTATTTTATTCTTCCTTTATTTTCCTGGCTTACACTAATATCTAATATTGTTTTGGGATTATTTGCAGTCCTTTGGAGATAATACACTTCAGCATTCTACTTCCAACATTGTAGTTCAAGAAGCTGAATAAGCCTGGCACCTTTTGCTCACTCCTGTAATCCTAGCTACTCAAAGATGCTGAGATCTGAGGATCTCGATTTGAGTCCAGTCAGGGCAGAACAGTACCCATAATATTCTTATCTCTAATTAAAAAACAGAAGTGGTGCTGTGACTCACGTGGTGGAACACTAGCCTTGAGCACAAAAAGACTCAGGGACAGCACCCAAGCCCTGAGTTCAAGCCCACAATCAACAAAAAAAGAAGCCGAACAAAAAGTACCAAAGGAAAGAGAGCAATATTATGAAAGTCTAAGTTAACTACAGCTAAGAATAAAATTTAAAACAACAGAAACAACAAATCTTGTCAATAAAACATTTAGTGTTTAAAGAAATGTATTAGAAAAATAACTTTTCTTCACATGGGTATGATTGCTTTACAGAAATTGAACACTAATGATGAAAAGAAATAGAATGGAAATTCTCGAGATTTTTGGAACTTTCCATGAGGAAAAATAAGATTAGAATTTCTTTCTTTTTTCTTTCTTTCTTTTTTTGTTGGTCATGGGGCTTGAACTCTGGGTTTGGGCACTATCCCTGAGCTCTTCAGCTCAAGGTGAGTACTCTATTGCTTGAGCTACAGCACCATTTCCAGCTTTCTGGTGGTTTTTCGGAGATGAGTCTTATGGACTTTCCTGCCCAGGGTTGGCTTTGAACTGTGATCCTCAGATCTCAGCCTCCTGAATATGTAAGATTACAGGCATGAGCCACTGGCGCCCAGCTAGCATTTCTTTAAGCATGCATAAAGTGCAGTTATAGCTACATTTATGTGGTGATGGTTGGGGCATACACGTCAATGATAGAGTATGAAATTTATGGCCAGCATGCAGGAGAACCTTGGTTGTATACCCAGAAAAAAGTACAATTCTCTTTATGCAACCGAACAACAGATGCCTAACTCCTTAATAATCAAAAATAATTTTTTACTTTTCACTCTATGTACTTTAAATGTATTCTTGAATATACTTTGGGGCACATGTTTTTATCCTTTTATCCTTAGCTGTTTCCATGAAGATAAGGAAAAAGGCCAAATCTTCTGTTCAAAACATCCATTTATCACCAATTTCATGGGAAATATTTAATTGTGGCAAGTAAAGAGGAGGCAGTTCTTTCCCAGGCCATCAAATTTTGGAGAGTTATTTATAGTTTGAGGACAAAATAGATGTAACTAATAAGAGTGTTCATGCATTGTGGTGGTGATGGCTGGGGCCATGGGCATACAAGCACTGTACCACCAAGATATATACTCAAGTGCAGATCCTATCAGCGATTCACATGAAATAATCATTAGCAATATGAATAAATTGAATTTATACACTGTTGGTTAAGTAGAATTTTGCAAATGCAGCAAAGATAATAGTCTAAATTTGATGACAAGAAATAATTATGCCTTCCACTTGTTTGAACATTGCCTTCATTTATGTGCAGTCAAAAACTCTTTGGTAGAAAGTTATCTCCAATTATGTGCAACTGAAACCCTTTACCCTTGTACATGAATAAAAGTTTCTTAAGCTTTAACTGCTTTTTGAGACAGGGTCTTATTGTACAGCCAAAGCTGGCCACCTTGGCTAGCCTGAAGAACCTCCTGCCATCACACCCTCCTCTAAAATGTCCTTTATTTAGCTATTTCACTAAGCGCAGAACACAGAGAAACTGTCAAATGTATAGTACTAACTACAGTTGCTGTTAGGTCTATTCAATCAGAAACTTGTAAAAGGTCATTTTACTTGACTATCTCGGATTAATTTCTCAATCAGGACGCAGGGTGGCGCTGCAGGCTAAGATTCCGAATAAACAGCCCTAAAAAGCGCCTGTATTCGTTTACACTGTAATACACAGTCAAATACAGAAGCGTTGAGAGAGGCTATAAACGGAGTTGGTCGAACCTATACCAAAGAATTGGTGGAGAAAAGCCACTTTCTGATGATTCAGCCAAACAAGAAATCATAATACATCTCCAGCATTTCCTCAGGAGCGGCGGAAGTGATTGAATGCCAGCATCAGGCTCCAACGTGGAGAAGGTAGAGATGATTCCCTCAAACAGGCAAGTGAGGTTCTTTGTTGTTATGATGTTTGTGTCTCTTGTTCGCCCGGAGCCAATGCGCTTTTCTGTGCCAGAAGAAACAGAAAGCGGTTCCTTTGTAGCCGGTCTTACCAAAGATCTCGGCATGGCACTTGGGGAATTGGCCTCCCGATCTGCCAGGGTGGTGTCTGACGATTATAAACAGCATTTGCTGCTGGACCCTCAGAATGGAGATTTGCTACTGAGGGAGAAATTAGACCGGGAGGAGCTCTGTGGCCCCAGGGAACCGTGTGTGTTGCATTTCCAAGTGTTCCTGGAAATGCCAGTGCAAGCTTTTCCAGGAGAATTACTGATTGAAGATATAAATGATCATGCCCCGGTTTTTCCTGATAGGGAAGTGCTCTTGAAAATACCGGAAAACAGCCACCCAGGAACTCTGTTTCCATTAACATTAGCAGAGGATTTGGATGTGGGCATTAATGGGATTCAAACCTACACAGTCAGCCCCAATGCTCACTTTAATGTGCTCACTCGAAATAATAGCGAAGGCAAGAAGTACCCAGAATTGGTCCAGGACAAAGCGCTGGACCGCGAGGAACAGGCTGAGCTCAGCTTAACCCTTGTGGCTCTGGATGGTGGGACTCCACCTAGGTCTGGCACAGTCTTGGTTCGAGTCCTGGTCATGGACGTCAATGACAATGCTCCCGAGTTTGTGCACTCTCCATATGAGGTGCGGGTCCTGGAGAACAGCCCACCAGATTCTGTGATTCTAAACGTGTTAGCCAAAGATGCAGATGATGGGCACTTTGGGAGTGTTTCCTATGGCTTCTTCCAAGCATCAGATGACATTAAGCAAACTTTCTCAATAAATGAGATCACGGGAGAAATTCGACTGAAAAAGGCATTGGACTTTGAGAAAGTTACTTCTTACCGTGTGGAAATGGAGGCCACGGATGGAGGAGGCCTCACTGGGAAGGGCACTGTATTCATAGAGGTGGTGGATGTGAATGACAATGCCCCGGAAATTACCATCTCTTCACTCACCAGCTCCATCCCAGAAAATGCTGCTGAGACCTTAGTCTCTATCTTCAGAGTTGGAGATAGGGATTCTGGAGATAATGGAAAGACAGTATGCTCTATTCCAGATGACCTTCCTTTCATCCTAAAATCTACTTTCAAGAATTTCTACACTTTGGTGACAGAGAGGCCCTTGGATAGAGAAATAAGAGACCAATACAATATCACCATCACTGTCTCCGACTTGGGGACTCCCAGGCTGCAAACTCAGCACACCTTCACCCTGCAGGTGTCCGAGGTGAACGACAACGCCCCCGAATTCACGCAGTCCTCCTACACCCTGTGGGTCCGCGAGAACAACAGCCCCGCCCTGCACATTGGCACCATCAGCGCCACAGACAGAGACTCGGGCAGCAACGCCCAGCTGACCTACTCGCTGCTGCCCGGCCCGCAGCCCGGCCCCGACGCGGCGGCGGCGCTGGTGTCCATCAACGCGGACAGCGGGCAGCTGTTCGCCCTGAGGGCGCTGGACTATGAGGCCCTGCAGGCGTTCGAGGTGCGCGTGCGCGCCGCCGACCGCGGCTCGCCCCCGCTCAGCAGCCAGGCGCTGGTGCGCGTGCAGGTGCTGGACGCCAACGACAACTCGCCCTTCGTGCTGTACCCGCTGCAGAACGCGTCTGCGCCCTGCACCGAGCTGCTGCCCAGGGCGGCCGAGCCGGGCTACCTGGTGAGCAAGGTGGTGGCGGTGGACCGCGACTCGGGCCAGAACGCCTGGCTGTCGTTCCAGCTGCTCAAGGCCACGGAGCCCGGGCTGTTCAGCGTGTGGCCGCACAATGGCGAGGTGCGCACCGCCAGGCTGCTGAGCGAGCGCGACGCGCCCAAGCACAGGCTGCTGCTGCTGGTCAAGGACAATGGCGAGCCGCCGCGCTCGGCCAGCGTCACGCTGCACGTGCTGCTGGTGGATGGCTTCTCGCAGCCCTACCTGCCGCTGCCCGACGCGGCGGCGCCCGAGCGCGCGCAGCCCGACCGCCTCACTGCCTACTTGGTCATCGCGCTGGCGGCCGTGTCTTCTCTCTTCCTCTTGTCTCTGCTGCTCTTCGTGGCCGTCAGGCTGTGCAGGAGGAGCAGGGCGCGCTCGCTGGCCGGCTGCGCGCTGCCCGATGGCCCCTTGCCTGGACACCTGCTGGACGTGAGTGGCACGGGGACCCTGGCCCACAGCTACCAGTATGAGGTGTGTCTCACAGGAGACTCTGGGAATGGTGAGTTCAACTTTCTGAAACCTATACTCCCAAAGCTCTTCGTGCAGGATGCTGTGAGAGAAGTTCAGGAGAACCCCCACTGCGGTCACGACTTTGTGTTAGGATGTTAGTTTAACAATGAATCTCTCATCAATGCTGACAAATTATTGACAGGTCTTTAAGCGATTATGTTAGTAGTCCTTTCTTATCACTAGTCTAAACCTATGCATGTCCCTGACAACAACACATTTATTTCCTTGTATGTGTGGGAGAGGGGGTGAGGAAGAGTTATGGAGTTTGAACTCAGGACCTGGATGCAGTCCCTCAGCCTCTTTGTGCTCAAGGCTAGCACTCTACCACTTGAGCCACAGGGCCACTTAGGGTTTTTGAATGATTAAGTGGAGATAAGAGTCTCACAGGGACTGTTTCTCCCTGGGCTGGCTTCTAATCACAATCCTCAGATCTCAGCCTCTTGAGTAGCTAGGATTACAGTTGTTCAGATAATTTGTGTCCTATTTATTGGTTTTAATTTTATTAGACATTTTTAGTTGAACTGTATATTTTATATTTTCTCCACATCTTTCTTCTGGTAGTTTATTATTCTATAATTATAAATTACTCATTTAGTGATAATTTATGTTAGTTATTGTATTTGTGCAACATTTTAGAGCTTTTCTTATTTCTAATTTGAATATTTTGGCAAATGACTTTACCTGGAACTTTATGTTCTCATGGTCAGAGAATTTGAAATTCCTTGCTATTACTTTCACATTTTTGGTGTTTCAAGAGAAAGTGACATTTAATTGTAATAATTTGGTAGCCTGGTTTTATAATTGTCACAGAAAGATATTGAAGATCACTTAATAGCCCTTAGCCTAAAACCTAGAACATTCCCTTCTCCTAAATTCTATGTTAACAGGCAGTTCACTGAAATATCAGCATATAAAATTGTGATCTTGTTGATTTTGAGTACCACATATCCTAAGTATTATTTCATTTATTTTGTTGCTACTTACCAGGAGCATTGTAAGTACTCCACAGATACTATGATTAAGAAATGTTATACTGGGTTCTGGTGGATCCTGGCAATAATGCTAGCTACTCAGCAAGCTGAGATCTAAGGATTTTGGGTAGAAGACAGACTGGGCAGTTAAAGCCAGGATTGTCCATCTCCAATTAGTCATCAAAAAGCAAGAACTGGAGATATAACTCATGTGGTAAAATATCAGCTCTGACTAAAATAGCTCAAGGGAGGTTCTCAGTTCAAAGCCAAACTCCTAGTACTGTCAGACACTCATGAACACACACACACACACACACACACACACACACATGCACGCACACACACACACACACACCGAGTTAAATATTTTTCATCTTGTGAAAAATGCCAGTCCTAGGCTGGAAATAAGGGCTGGACATTGTCCTTGAGCTTCTTTTGCTCAAGGCTAGCACTCTACCACTGAAGCCACAATGCCACTTCCAGCTTTTTCTGTTTATGTGGTACTGAGGAATCAAGCCCATCGCTTCATGCATGCCAGACAAGCACTCTACTTAAGCCACATTCCCAGCCCTATCATGGCTTCTTGTTAATTATTTTCTATTTTGTTCTTTAGTGTAATAATTACTAAAATAACATAAATTTTCAACAGGGCTTAAGTTACAATTTGTAACTTAAGGGCTTATGTTTATTTTGTTCCTGAAGGGATTTGAATTATCTGAATCGTATTTTTGAACGTTTTGTTTAATGAGCCTAATGGACTAGTGTATAATTTTTAACTATTAAAAATATATGGATATGACTGTAAGTCAACTTCATTGAATTTTTGTCAGAATTATGAGCAATTTAAAAGCTTTCTTTACAATCTTGTATTTGCTTTAAAATCTCACATATTCTGCTGGATTTAACTATTTCTGTGTATTACTCTTTACCCCAAGATATAATACAATAAAAAGAGAAAATTTCTATCCACTTAAATTATTCTTGAAACCGTTGTCAGCCTTCATTCTATTTAAGGAATTAAAATAAGCTGGCTTCAAGTGGCTCAGCCCTATAATCCCAAGTAGTCAAATTGAGAGGTTCAAGATTTGAAGCCAGACCAAGCAAGAAGTTCATAAGACTACCCATTTCAACCAATAAAAAGCAGAGCACAATGTTACATGCCTTTTGTCTCAGCAATAGCGTGAAGTATAAATAGGAGGATCACAGATGAGTTTGTCCTGAGGAAAGGTTGAAACTCTATCTTAAAAACAGCTAAAAGAAAAGGGTCTAGGCTTAGCTTAAGTGATAGAATACCTGCCTAACACATAGGAAGTTCTGAGTTCAAATCTAGTCTTAAAATTGGAATGGAAATAAAAGATAAAAAATGACAACAGAATTGAGCACAAATATACAAGACATAGAGTAATCAAGTGTAATGACTTCTTTATTACTTATACTTTTTGCAGTGTTGCTGGTTAAGCTGGGGTCTTGAGCATTATAGGCAAGTACACTACATCCCTACACCATGAAATATCTTTTCTACATGACAACTAATTCAACTGGTTAAAGTTTTCACCAGCATATTTCAATGTCATAACACTTCACATTTACATTTTCTGTAATTGTTCTAGTTTTGAGACAGGATCTCACTCTGTAGTCCAGCCAAGGCTGTTCTCAAACTCATGTTCCCTAATACTGGAGTTACAGATAATTACTGTTGCTCTTGTCCCAAACTCATTTTTTGTTTTATGAGGAAAGTTCAGTTTGTATAATTACCCATAGGAGACTAATCAAATAATATCTAGAATCCACCCAATCTTGCACTCATAAATTAGGGATTCTTTCTTGACTGCTAGTGAGTAAGCCAGACTGCAGAGTACGTAAATTTTTGAAATTCAGATGAGTTTGGATTTGTGTGTGTGTTTGCATGCATGTGTGCATGCATGCACTCATATGAGCATATGTACTGAGGCTTAAACTTGGGACCTCATGGTCTCCCTAAGCCTTTCCATTTAAGATTCGTGCTCTACCACTTAAGTCACAGCTCCATTTCTGAAATCTAGTTGTTAGAATTTAAATACACAAATAATAACACTTATTTTATTTTAATATGAAATTTCAAATGCTTGTATATATACATACACACATCTTTTATAATTCATTTGCTGTCATTTTTAGGTGTTGGACATAGTGAATTTAATAAGTGGTGTTCTAAGGACAGAAATTCTACTGAAAGCAGTATAGTCATTATGACCTGAAGGTCTACACTTTTCTTACAATCACAACTTATGTGTATATTTGGTGGAATTAGGTGGACATGTGGTAGCCTATATAACTCTCTCTCTCACACACAAACTGATTAAATGTCAGATATACATATATATGTATATATATATATATATAATATATAAAACCAATAAGAAGAGGATGATATGACAAGTTAGGGATGGTGGCACATCTCATAATTCCAGTTACGTGTGAGACAGAGATCAAGAGGATCACAGGTTGAATTTAGGCCAGGCTAAAAGTTATTGAGACAATCAAGATGTGGTGGTATACATCTGTTATCCCAGCGACATACATGGGATGAAGAGGTAGAGCGATTGCTATGTAAGGCCAGCCTGGGAAAGTAGTGTGAGAAATTATCTAAAAATCAAATTAGGGCTGGGAGTGTGGTTTAGTGGAAGAGTGCTTGCCTAGCACTCATGAAGCCCTGTGCTTGATTCCTCAGTAACACAAAACCAGAAAAAACTGGAATTGGTGCTGTGACTCAAGTGGTAGAGTGCTAGCCTTGAGCACAGAGAGGCTCAGGGACAGTGCCCTGTCCCTGAGTTCAAGCTCCAGGACTGGCAAAAAAATAAGGCAAAAAGAACTGAAGGGGGGCTTTCATGACTCAAGTGGATATGACCCTGAGTTCAACTCTCAGTATTACCATCAACAAAACAAAAATATGGTAACTAAAATTTCTCAGATAGGATGTGAGGATGAGAACTGAGAAACTATAGTTCGTTTTATTCTGTGGAATTTTTCTTTTTTTCTTTTTTTTTGGGGGGGGGTGGTTGGGTCGTGGGCCTGAACTCTGGGCTTGGGCACTGTCCCTCAGCTCTTCACCTCAAGGCTAGTGCTCTACCACTTGAGCCACAGTGCCACTTCCGGCTTTCTTCTTTTTGCTTATGTGATGCTGAGGAATTGGACCCAGGGCCTCATGCATGCAAGGCAAGCGCTCTACCACTGAGCTACCTTCCCAGCCCTATTCTGTGGAATTTTTCTAAGTCTGAAACAACAGCAAGTTCTTGATAGGAGCAGAGTAAGGTAGTGACCTCTGGAGAAATAAACAGTTTAAGTAAATTTCTCTCTCTGGACACTTGTTAATTTCAGGGAAGCCCTGTTAAAAAAAGATTTAAAAACCTAAATGAAATATTGTGTGTGTATGTGTGTGTGTGTGTGTGTGTTTGTGCATGTGTGTGTGTGTGTGCGTGTGCATGTGTGTGTGTGTGTGTGTGTGTGTGATATGTCACTGAAGTTTGAACTCAGGATTCTGGACTCTGTTCCTCATCTGTTTTGGTTAAGACTAGTGCTCTACCGCTTGAGATCCAGCTCCTCTTCTGCATTTTAGCTCCCTGATTGGACATAAGAGTATCATGGATTTTCCTCCCTGCACTGGCTTGGAACCACAACCCACAGCTCTCAGCCTCCTAAGTAGCAAGGATTACAGTTATGAGCCACTTGTGCCCAGCCTAAGTGAAAAATTCTTTAAAACTAGGGTAAGGTTTTTCTTGAAATACCATTATCAGGGAATTACCACAAGAAAAAAGACTGTGGAGAATAGATCAAGTTCTAGCTGAAAATTATTGCTTCTTATACACTTGACTAAGCATAGAACCTCTTTAGATCACAAAAGGCTAGATGATGAGATGGGGGTCTACCAAGCTAACCGAGGAAAGGATGCATTCATCCCGAATGATGGTAATATCATCTTCATCATACATGGTTTTTCATGTAGTGTTTACCAAAATCAAAAATTCAAGTTTGGACATAAAACTGGATGAGCTGAATAAAACCAATGGCCTTAAAAAATCCATACATAGAATCAATTAAACAAGGTGTTAACACAAGTGTGATAAAATGGTAAAACAAGGAATAATGGAG